GCAAGTCTATATTACACCTAGTACTGTGTACTCTAACCTGTCACAATGATTCGAACAATCATGAGTCGGTGTGCCTGTAGTGTATCAGAGAGGTCTACAATATACGAGCCATTTCTGGTGGCGTACAAGAGACCGCTTAAAACACTTGCACACTTAAACGAGCGATATCTTTTCGGGCTGTACACCACTAAAAAAACTTTAATACTGAATCTACGTGCAATGTCACCTACAGTGCAAGAAAGATCACTCGGAGCCTCTGATCCTCGAGATTCGTTGAGAACGTCGTCAACCGTAAGCCGACGTTCTTAAAACGTCGACATATTCAAGTGGGGGACAAGAAGGCTGACACCAATGTATGTTTTGTTAATTTTTCACTTCATATAATTCGTGTGGTTGGTATTGCACCCATAAATACAGTACCCAAGCAGCCTAAGACCTAATAGTAGGCCTCGATAACGAAATCAGACGCCTTTCTATCACCTCACTCAACATAGCATAATCGCGGACTATAACTAGCAGCGAGCAAACAGTAGAGTTTTTTCTTTGTAATGCGAAGCATTTCTTAGCGAACTTCGGCTACTTTGAGCGTATCTATCTATCTATCTATCTATCTATCTATCTATCTATCTATCTATCTATCTATCTATCTATCTATCTATCTATCTATCTATCTATCTATCTATCTATCTATTTATCTATCTATCTATCTTATCTAGCCGCTTACGTTTGGGTACTCTCGTGGGCAGCCCTTTAACTTGGCGTGAACCAAAATTAGTATGGGAGGGTAAGATGGTGCGACGAACATGACGCGCTAGTCGAGCCATAAATAATGTCACAATCCCGTCACTCACGTCGTCAGACACTTCCCGCTAGACAGTGGCACATACCCACGGGCGGGTATGTGCCGCTGCTATGCGGGTATGTGCCACAGGTGATTGACACCGAGGAACGACGAGAACACACAAGGCCAATTTTAACGCGCGAGCGTTAAGAAATACCCGATATTGGTAGCGTCGACCTGACGAACACAAAAGAATAAATGCCAGGGTCCCAGCTGGGATTGAACCCAACCATTCTGCGTGGTAGTGAAGCATCTTACCACAGAGCTACGCCATGTCTCGGAACTTCTTTTCAATGGACGCTAATCTTTGTGAAACGTCAATAGTGGATGCAGTGCTGCCTACCCACTTTTATAAACGTTACATATTTACTCCTTTCATACAGCTTTCACGTCAGGTCGACGTCAGTTGTGGTTAGTTGCCATGCACTCAAGTTGGTTTATGTAGCAATGCCCAGGGCCAGCATCCTCGCGAGCATCAGCGCTTCATATCAGCTTCTGGTTTTGCTAATACGCATGTTCCAGTTGGCATCGTTACATAAGTGCAAACAACTGATTATGTAATCATCTGAAACTCTTCAACGCATGTCTGTGCTTGCAACCTTTGTACATATATTAGCATGATTTTACGACGTGTCGCTCAATACGAAAATTGCAACACGGCCAACTTCCCTCCGCATGCTTCGCATAACGTCGATTCTGAGGTACGTAAGGTTTGCCGATTTCTTTTTTTCGCCATGCAGCAGCTGTGATGATACATAGTAACAGCGACCTCATCCTTGCGTTCAAGGAGCTCAAGCACTTCGCTCTCCGACTATTTGTGATTCATCATGCAAATAAGAAGCGTGCTTGCATTCCACGTGGCGCCTTGTTTGGCCCCCGTAGCGTCAAGGCGAACGTCCTTTATGAAGCTGTTCCAACCCGCTTCGAAGGAAGAAAAGTGCGATTTAGTGTGAGCGCTGTTCCTGATATCTGTTTTGAAGAAGTTTGCGGAGAAAGCCAAATTAAGTTTACTATATAGAAACTTCTCAATGGAATATTTTGCGGTGATAAAGGGCTTACATCGAGAGAAATGCGAGGCGTCGACATTAGATGGAAAGGACAATGGGTGACAAACAAACAATCCTTGATTAAGTAGCACCGCTGTTAGCAAACTGCTGTACGTGATGCTGTGTACATAGAAGTAACAAGACAATGATAAGCAGTTTTGTCGACGCCCAGTGGACGTTTCTGACAATAAAACAACCCATCGATCTTTTGTGTACGTTCTTAGTTCGTTTCATTGCTGCCTTCAGTATGGCATCCGATAAAATTTTTACCCAAATTGTCCATTATGCTCACATTTCACGAACTTACCAGTGGAAAAGAGACGTGTGATTCACGCTCAGTTCAGTGCATTTAGAGGTATGTACGAATGACGTCAGTCATGCCTGGATAACAAATGTGCGTTTTGTGCATTGACCGTGACCATAATTTTATGCTAAATCTGAAATACCACTTGAAGACCCGTAATTCGGTGAGATAAATTGATTTAGAGCAGCCATTCATATAGCGTGACCGAAAAATAGATAAAACTATCTTGTATCGTAGTTTTTAGCCTTACACAACATTACCTTTTATGAACGAATCGAGTTTGGGGCACATGCACTCTTTTATTAGCTTCTTTGCTACGGCATTAGCTTTAGTTAAGGCACCATGTAGTCACTAGTTTCTCAGAGAAATGCCCCTTTATGACCACTACTTTCAAGAACATTCATCTCATGCAGTCAAAGTGCTTGCTCGTAAACTGCCTCCTACCTGAATGCAATGCTATCGATCGATCAAAGTCAAACGAGTACTGCTGTATTGAACTAGATGTATATTGTGTATATGATCGATATAACATTGCAGTTTCGTTTCAAGTTGAATGGTTGGATTGTGTCGAGGCTTATTGCGAATCGAAGTGAAAATTTGTTGTGAAAAAACTGCCTTCGTACACAACAGTGCACTATCTTCATGTTTTCCTACTCGGCTCATCAGCTGACGTGTTTGCGGTCATAGTGTATATTTTTCCAAGGTTGACTACGAAGTAATGCATAATATATAATGGAATGTTATTTATATGTGAAGCACGGGATGCCGTTTGAGCAGCGGTTGCTTGCAGTTCTTTTTTTTTTTTTCATGACGCTGTTAACACACTAGTGGACAGGTCCTGTTTTGATGTTGATGGGCTTGTTTAAAAGACTCATTGCATATTTCTGTTGTTTCTATTGCCTGCTCAGCACAGCAATACCTTTAACTGCTTGAAGAACGTGGCTATGAAATGTAAGACAACTAAAACAACGATCTATTAGTCTTCTGGTCAATCCCATTTAAAAACTTGGTGGCTGTATAAAGTGGTTCCTTGTAGATTGCAAACGTTTTTAACAAGAGAGTTGTTTAAGGCGGGGGTAAGGCGTTATCCCTGCCGTGGTGCTCTAGTGGCTAAGGTACTCGGCTGCTGACCCGCAGGTCGCGGGATCGAATCCCGGCTGTGGCGGCAGCATTTTAGATGGAGGCAAAATTGATGTAGGCACTTGTGCTCAGATTTGGGGGCAGGTTAAAGAACCCAGGTGGTCGAAATTTCCGGAGCCCTCCGCTATGGCGTCTCTCATATTTATATGGTGGTTTTGAGAAGTTAAACCCCACATATGAATGAATGATTGGGAACGAGAAACACCGGAGAGACAGAAAGAGAGTAAGTTTGGAAAGACAGAGGAAAGAAAAAAATTGATAAAAAGACAGAGAAATAGTGAGAAATACAGACCGGCCATTAGGCACCGGCTAATGCCGATTCGGAGCACAGCTTCGCGTTGGGCAAGCCGGACTGTGGGCTTTGCGTAAGGTATCGACTACGCCTTTAATAATAGTTATTTTTGAGAGCCCCCACTGTGCCATTTTTTGTTTTCTGTGAATTAGCGAGGCACCCGCGACACATCAGTAAAGCATTGTGTGCCTTTTTGAATCTGCGCGTGGCTCATATGACAATGAAGAATTACGGCTGAGCACTTTGCAGTTGGTGGGAAGGATTCAAACCACACACTCGTTGTGTAATTAGCATCGTTTGATGACTAGTGTTTTTACTCTTGCATCGGTTGACGTGATTCCTTGCCCGGCATGACGCCTGTATAACAACATCTTGAAAATGAGTTTCAAGCACCAGCAGAGCTCTGTACAATAAAGAAAAAAAGGCAGCGTGGATTTGTGGTGGAATGCTCGACGGCCACGTAGAGGACACGGCACCATTCAATCCTTGGTATCTTTTCAGCATTTAACGTTTTAATGTCTAACGGTTACGGCACCGACGGCGACACCATTCAATGACGCAGGGTGGCGTTGCCGTTGAGTGGGGTTCTAAGAGATCTAAAAGCTGCACTCTAAAAAGACAGACTAAAGGAAAAAACAAGAAGCAAAAAAAAGTAAGAATTAGAGGAAGAGAGAAAGGAAACCATAAAAATTTGGCAAAAGTGGAGGAGTTAGTATTACCTAGGTGCCTAACCGTTCTGCTCTCTCTTTAACATTGCGCCAACAGTGCATACTATATACGCCTTTTTTTAACGATGACTTCAAGATATAACCACACTCGGAAGTTCTGTTTCTCACAATGTTATACCTGTATACTTGAGTCCTCGCAAAAACTTTGGGAGTTCGCCACACTAGTGACGATGTGGTGGAGCGTTCACCTCCAAGGCGAGATGTACTGGGTTCAATACTCATCGGTATTGAATCCAGTACATCTCGCGAGGATGCAACGTTCTGGAGATATTCACCCGACTGAGCGCACCATCGCGGCATTTCTCTCGCATCATTGCCAGCTGTCACCCACTGGTTTTGCTAAATAAGAGAGAGATGCCGCGACCTGGCGCTCAGTAGGGTGCACATCTTCAAAAGGTCACCTGGTTTTTCCCGCTCCATTATGTGCTGCCCCCTTATGGTTAGCAAAAGTTAGCGTTCTTCTTTGAGCTATCAGTTCAAATGGGTGTCACCGCGAAACCTTGAAATGCAGTGTTTTTGCGTTCTCAGACATCGGAGTTGCATAGTGTAGGTCGAGACCGCCTATGAACTTACCCTCCTGCTGTAGGTGTCAAGTGCAAAGCATCTTTCAACGTCGTGATTTTTCTCGTTTCTATTTTGCGACGTCTAGGGCTCGTCCAAGCTAACGATGGCATTCCTGCTATGCGTCACCCTGACCTGGTCTCTGTCCCACGCGGCACCGGTTATGACGCTGGTTGGCTCCTCGACCCAAGTGAGCATCCACGCTGTCACCGATCCTGGCACCACGACCGCCGTCCCTTCCGAAAGTAGCAGCGCCGTCTTCAAGGCCGAGGTTCAGAGTGGTACCGAGGCAGCGGCGTCCACTGTCGGAGCCCCATCAACATCCGTGACCGCAGCTGCCGCTTCCGCCGAGTCAACGGTGGCCGCGTCCTCTACCGAGAACCCTTCTTCACCCTCCGAGTCTGCGTCAACAGCCGGGGCGGTGACCATGGCGGCGATGGAAGCCGATAAAGAGGAGACCGTCAGAGTTACCGCCACCTCTGGTCCGGAGACTTCGCCGGTGGTGTCGGCAGCCAGTGAAGGTGAGCCACACAGTTTGCAGCTTGACTGGGAGCGAAAGTCCGTCCTGAATTGCAATAGTGGTAGAGTAGCTTGGCCAGAAGCAGAGAGTTTCATCTTATAAGCTTTCACTCGTACTCAGATCTAGTTTACGTCGAGCACGATTCCCATTTACGTGCAGTGGTCACACACCACGCAACAGTGGTTACAGTGCTCGACTGCTGACCTGCAGGTCGCGGGGTCGATCCCGGCCACGGCGATCGCAGTTCAACGGCGGCGAAGTGCTGGACGCCGGTCCACTGCACGATGCCAGTGCACGTTAAAGCGCCAGTCAGCAGGCTCCAACTTTTTTTTTTACACCCCCCAAACAAGCTCGCGCATCTTTCCTGCGTGTGACCATCCTCCTTCCACGCGCAGTGACGTCAACTCGGCGACCGGCGACGTGACGGAGCACGCAGCTCGTCGATTGGCCTAAACCAGGTCTCAACAAGAAACAGTAATGAAGTCAACGTCGCCGATCGCAGAGTTGACGTCACCGAGTGTGGAAGGAGGCTGGGCAGGCGTGGGAAAGATGCGCGAGCTTGTTTGGGCGGTGTAAAAAAAAAGTCGGAGCCTGCTGACTGGCCCTTTAAAGAACACCAGGTGGTTGGAATTTCTCGTGCACTCCATTATGGTGGGCCTCATAACACGCAGTGGTATTGGCTCGTAGAATCACAGATATTATTATTATTATTATTATTATTATTATTATTATTATTATTATTATTATTATTATTATTATTATTATTATTATTATTATTATTATTATTATTATTATTATTATTTACTACTTGTGCGCAGCAGAATGAAATGGCCGACTTTCAATCGCGTCAATGCGATACCTCTCCTAGCCTTAAACGAAGCAATGGACTTTACTTGCAGACTATATGTAGAAGGTAGAGGTAATAGCTGTTTGGCAAAATTGTGCACAACCAGTTTAGACAGGCAAATAATAGAGAGAGACGGAGAAGGAAAGAAAAGCACGGAAGTTAACCAGATGCACGGTCTGTTTGCTTCCCTCCACTGGGGGAAGAAATCAGAGATCGAAAAATAAGTCGTTAGTAATATTGTCAGATGTGTGGTAGTTCGAAAAACCATCTCTCTTCAATTGTGCTTGTTCCTACTCGCTTAGTTTTGTCACTGTTCAGTTTCGTTCTAACTGGCTTGCTATAGGGAGGATGAGGCTTACGTATCCTCAGCTGCTCCATTTCTATAGTCATGTCTAAATTAAAATAATTTATTGTACCAGCAACATGCACTCACGCGCCACACGTATTATCGTACAAAAAGTTCAGCGGTCAGTATGTGGTATGGTAACCATCAAAGTTCTCTGTATATTAGAATGGCATCAGTGCCAAACAAGGAAGTCGTCAACTTGGAGAGCCACCCTCATGACGAGGACAAAAGACAAAAACTTTGGTGGGAACACTGGTCACCAAGTGAAGTCTGAATCTCTGAGTGAACCTCTCCTCTTTCATGTTTATTTCTTTGCACTCTGGCACAAAGTTTTGGATTCTCAAGTGTGTTCTAGCAATGATACAGCCTTAATTTTCAATTGGCCACATATTCCTGCATACACATCTACACCTCACCAAGTTGGCTTGAACAGTGACTTTTACTGAACTAATACAACATTTATTCTCATATTTGATGTGCCTTCATCTGTGCATGAACAAGAACGGATGATCCAGAACAGAAATAGGTGAGAACTGCTAACCGAGCTTGTATGACTTGCGTTAAAAGCACAAAATAAAAAAAACTGCAGGTAGTATAGATTTGCACGCCGTATGGCCATTGATGTTGACTGCTCTAATGTTACTGTTCCAGCTATATACCCAAAGCGTCGAGCTCGAGAGAACGCGAAAGAACGGCGAATCTTCAGCAGTGCACAGTAGCTTTTGTGATATTACATTTTGTTGTTTTCATCTGTATATATTTGGCGCCAAAGCGTCACAGACCACCCAGTGGTACAGCGGATATAGCACAAGTACAACCGGCGTCCGTTTTCGATCGTGCTGCATTATTAACCCTCACTACAGCATGCGCGGGCTTCCACTGTCGAGCGTTTGTCTCATTCTAACGGCACTCGTTCTCATGTCGCAGAGCGGTCCGACGAGTCCAAGCCCACGATGGAAACGGCAGAGCAGCCAAGCAAGAGCGACGCGACAGCCGCCACCGGTGGGCCAGCCACAACAGTCGCTCGCCAGGAGGAAGCGGAAGGCCGATCGGGCGATCAGGTAAGAAGACTTGAATAACGCTCGTACCAGCGGCGGCGACTCGTTGTCATGCATGCAAGCAGGAAGCAACAATGGCCGCTACCTGGTCGTGAGCAAGCACACGCGAGTGGGCCCGTTCACCTGTTGACGATAATAATCTAGACAAGCAAAGAGATGACCGCATAGCCGCATAAACGGAACGTGCGTCCCCCAAACGCTGAAGTAACAAGATCTGGAATATAATAACGAACAGGCCGTTCTGTTCGACGCATTCGCGTCTGAGGTCACGAACTCAGCAGAGTGTCAGGTCGAATGCAGGGGTTATTCGTGCGTCATTTATGTATACGGTCATCGCTTATAAGGAGTCTCGTAGCGGCCGAAGGACGCCGCAGCGTGAATTCCGATTCCGCCTGTCTTTTTCGAAAACGATGGACAGCGCATATAGCACGCGACCTTCGAGCTCGCAGTTGCAAGACCACTTCGGGATTGCGCACCTGCATCATTATTGTTGATGCGACCAGAAAGCAGGATAATGCAGCTAAGTGCGGTAATTTATCGCGCTTTTGAAGACAGATTGTCGGTTTAAGAAGTCAGATTACACCGAGCACCTGAATTTTCAGCGAAATTGAATTTACAGGTACTGAAGTGTTGAACTACACGAGACAAGAGCTTAGGGGAAAATAGATACTTCACGAGATGAGACATAAAACAAAGAATGCTGCTGGAGCCCGCGCATCGACAAGAGGACTTCATAAGGACCATAACTTCGATACAGATTTATAAATGTGCTGTACTGTTTTGTAATCTTTCGAACTATTTCCAGAGGTCTATAACCTAGATAACATAATAGATCCACCAGTTCCATCTGTAATTGCATCTATTCTAGGCATCGGAAATGAAATAAGATGCATCTGGTTGTATATTGCTCTGCAGTTCACGGAATGTAGGAGGCTCCCACATTGCTTAGGCGCTATTGCTATCGGCGATGTATTAGCTCATACAAATGCGGGAGATATTTGCATCCAGCATCTTTCTAAGCTCCTCTTTTAGCGTAAGAAACGTTGGCTCTCGCAACATTCCTCTCATGAGAACTGATCGACGCTTCAAGAATTCATCTGATTCGTCAAACCTGCCCTCCTGATGTATCATTTATTCGGAAGGGTGTCTTGCTGGGTGAGTTGGTACGATACCATCATTAAACGTTGCGGAAAACACAAAAGGAGCACACGTACGTCTACGTTTTTTTTTCTGTGTTTGTGTTTCTTGCGCTACATTTAATGATGTTATCATTTATTTAATGTACATTATTCACCCTGGTTTCCTCTTGTTGCACGTTTTTTTTTTTTTTTTTTCAGAGCACCAACTCACCGCCAGTGACGACCCCAGCGGTCGTTGCCGAGGCAATGGAGAAGGCGTCGGAGGCGTCACCAGTTCCGGTCGCGGAATTTAGGGAAGACGCTCCGAGCACGGAAGCTCAGAACAAGGACACGTCGGCATCCCCAGTCGCTGAAACAACAGTCGCCACCGCCGGTGCAACTCAGGATGTCACGGCGAGTCCAAGCTCGCAGGCTTCAACCGAGGCCGCACCCGTAAGCACCGAAGCTGCAGTCGTTGCTGCTCACGCGGCCGTTGAAGCCCACAGCGAGACACCCGTCGCCGTTACAACAGAAAACGTCCCGCAGTCGAGCCCTGCTAGCACTACGGTCACAGCAGCCAGCACCGAAGTCAAGGCGGAGCCCGCGGAACCCGTTCAGGCCGCATCGTCTGTGAACGAAACCAAGGTGGAAGCTCCGAAAGCAGTCGCCGAAGCCGCATCAGTCGAAAAGGCAGCCGACACCGAAGGCCGCTCTGAGACCGGGGTTCCGGTAAGCACACAAGTTCCGGAGACCAAGCAGGAGAACCCCGATGAGAAAGCCTCGGTGATGACGACCGCCGCTAGCACCGCTGCCCCTTCTTCGACGGAGAGCTCCACCGCCGCAGCAACAACGGAAGTGGCCGCTCGTGCAGCCGCGCAAGAGGAGGAGGCAAAGAGCAGCACGCAGGTGTCAACTCAGAGCGAAAGCAGCACGGAAGCTGAAAAGACGAGCGACACAGCCTCCTCGACCGAAAAACCAGCCATGTCGGAAGTTCACTCTACGACCGCAGCCGTAGTCGCCGAAGCGATGAAGTCTACGGACAAGATGAGCGTGGAAGTATCCAAGCCAACTGAGGTGGTTTCTTCCCAAACTGCCGAAGCCATGGCGGCGACGACGGCCGGCGCTCCTGCACCAACAACCACGAGCGAGGCGGCTATGCAGACTTCGACGAACGGATCGACAGAGTCCAGCGCAGCGCCAGCAGTTACCGCCGCAGCTCAGATGGAGGAGTCCTCAACTGCCTTAAAGGTGGAGTCAACGCAAGCAGCGACGACTACCACTGCGTCATCGACCACGGCCGCGTGATTGTCCAACTGACTTTCCGTTTTTGCTTCTACAATTCAACATATGGTGTACGGCCTCTAAATTATTTCGCCAAGGTGATTTTCTCCACGGCTGATCAATCTGGTCCTGAAAAAAGACAACGAAAAAAAAGTTTTACTGTGTGAAGGATACTTTGCTGCGCCAGTTCTTCTCTAATTGTACAGACTTCCTATTTTTTTCTTCGTTTTTGTCAGCTTATAGGAGTAGTCGTCGACAATCACGATGATTTTTCTTTGTCTACTTAAGCTGAAAAAAAAACTCGTGCTAGGGGGTGTTTTGTTCCTGTTTACGGAACACAGTGTGATTGTTAAATAAAAATGTGAGATCCAAGCCCTATCGTTTTCTTCATATCACTGCTTCTTTCAAAGCAGGTTCTTCAGTACTGCACGGGGCGAACAAGGGTCGTGTAACAGAGCTGTCAAGCAAGCCATATCCAAGACAAAGTTCCGTTGGTCTAAGTTCGGATGGCTTCAAACTGAGTAACCGAATGCTGATGGTAACACATCGCGCGATTTTCTTTTAAGCTTCACACGCCGTATGTGGTTGTTTCATCGAATGTCGAAAGCGGTCATTCATACTTTTTTCCCCCTTCAGAGAGCGTGCACTAAACGGCGTTTAAGCAGGATCGGAAGGACTTCACGCTGATCACATTTGGTGAGCGAGGAGCCGGCAAAACGAAACGCATCAGCGCCAAGCGCTTTACGCACGCTTTACAGACGTCGAGTTAAGAAAAAAAAAAAAAACAGGCAATCGCTGAATTGCGTGGTGTCAAAAGCCGGCGAGGTACTTAGAAGCACGCGACTTATCGGCGGCAGCGGCGCGAAGAATGTAGGACGTCCAGCAGAAAAGCCGGTGATGTAATGTGTTGGCCCTCATCAGCCGGACGCCGAGAAACAAGGCGGGTCAAGAACGCCGCCGAACGGCGATGAAAAACGCCGGCAAGATCTTCCCTTTCAACGCCGCAGACGCGACGATTCAGGTCGTCTTCCCAGTGCCGATGCGACGACCGCAAACGAAGCGCGTCCTTTAAAATTTTTGAAACGTGACGTAACACGAAGGCGGTAACAGATGCACGGATGGAAGGTTGTCTGCTAACTGACATTCTCGTTTGTGCGCCCCCGCACGTGGGTTTATGTCTCCCACTTGCAAAGCTATGCTTAAGCGTCGTTGTGCTTGAGCAAAAAAGAATGGAATTATTTGGCGAGAAGATCACTTCTTTGTTAAACACACCACACTGAATCCAACAGACACTTAAGCCGAAAATTAACACAGCTAACACCAAGTCACGAAAAGGCTGTGTCCACAGCTGGTGGCCACCTGCCTTGTCCTGGCTTAGCTAGGCTTTTAACCTCTCACCTCTATTTCCCATTCCTTAGAATAACATACCACATTACACTGTACTAAACTATACTACACTATAACAAGATATACTATACATGACTAAGCTTTCTTTCCCCAAGATTTTTTCAATGTTTCTCAACCGAGAAAAGGTTTTCAATCTATTTCTCGACCTTTATTTCTCTTTCTCTCTCTCTCTTCACTTCCTCTTTTGTCCATAAGCATTTATTGCCCACGCCGGAGAAATCGACGCACGTGTTATGGGAGCGTCGAGAAGGCGACAATAAATAAGTGAGCGCTCATCGTCTCATGATGGTGATCGATGATTATTTTCCATCTACGACACACGGCCAGCCTCTAGCGTAAATGCTCAGCTGTAATCACTGCCTCTGAGGGTAACTCGCAGCCAGAATAGGCGGTGAGTGGTATGCCTGGGCAGCGTAGAGAAAGAAAACGGAAGGAGCTTAACCACGCGGGAGCCCGGTTCGCTACCCTGCAGGAGGGACGGGCAAACATTGCTCATTAAGAGTAACTTGCTGGATTCCAAAAGAAGGCAAATGCGCGAGATGGAGATAGAGAGTTCAGTGAGCAGATGAGATTAAGAAGTTCGAGGGCAGCATGATGCAATAGCAAGCACACGGCCGAGTCGATTGGCGAAACACGGAAGAGGCATCTGCCTAACTGTGGGCGTAATCAGGCTGCTGATGATGATTCGGAATAAGAAAATGCGGAACAGAAAGAAAAAAACAAAAAAAAACGCCTGACATGTGCGGAAGACGCAGCACAGTCAAAGCGAAAGCTAGAAAAGCAGCTTTTCGTAGCCTTTTCTAAGCACTCATTGGGTAACTGCTGCAAGCACACTTACTGGGTACCCACTACGGTAATAATATTAAAATTTCTGGGTAGTAGGTCGGCATTCCCTATGCTACATGCTTCGTCATTCTTCAGAAAAGCGTGGTATCCGCTTAACAGTTGCAAGACTTTTTGTGCAATTGTTCATGTAGTGGCTGACGACAATGACAAATTATGCCTGAAGTGGGTATGTGCCACAGTTAATAGGTGATCAAGAACAAGCCTTTGTAATTGGTTGGAGCATTGGACGACTTACTCGTTACGCTGTTCGCATTGTGTGACACTTGGTTGTTTTTTTTTTTGCTGTTCTAAAACACTTTATTACTCATAATAACACGATTCCTTTACCCGATATCAAGCCTGCCCTGCCTAAGGCAAGTTTCCAAACAAGTCTCAAGCACCGGCATGGCTCAGTGATGGAATACTGAGCTGACACGCAGCTGACCTGGGTTCGAGCCCCCAGTGTCCTTGGTACTCTTTTTTTTATTTCGTGCGATAGCGGTTAAACCAAATAATGGCTTAGAAACCATTAGGGAACGGTTGATGGGAAATCAATGTCAAAATATGCTGGAAGGGAAAGTGCTGCATCTACAATCGACTTTTTTTTTTTTCAATAAACCATATCCCCGGCTGACCGAGCGCTGCATGTATGGAGCAATAATGAGCACCATGAAGATAAAGCAGAGGGTTTCTCCTAAGCAAGCATGGCTACTACAATCTACAAGTGATGTTGGTCATGAAGCACGAAATCTGAGTGGTGACTTCTCCTTTTATTTTTTTATTTGTTGTGCTTTTGTAATGGCTTTTGTTCAGAAGACACTGAAGAAAAAAAATACTTTTTCTCGCTTGAGTAAATTACCTTTTCCAATACCAAAAACACCCGTCTTTCTGCGGAAAGATGCTCGGTAAGTGAGAAAATGTTCAAAAAGGAAATACTGGTGGAGACGCCACCTCCGATGTTCTTGCACCTACTCACCAACTACATCATCGGTTTTGGTGGCGTCTACGGCTGTTAAATTGCACCAAGACTCAAAACACTGGGCTGAGCCGATAAGATCACACGACAAAAAAAAAAAAATCTGGGAAGTCACATTGACATACATCTGCCATGAGCTCAGCGCCAAATTTAAAAGTGGAATCGACCTTAATTTTCTCTTTCCGTAAAGGTACACTAAAGGCAAATATTAAGTCGACATAAATTTATGAAACGGTGTAACAAGAACGTCGTACGGAAATGCTCAGTTTTCACGTTTTCATGTTCACCATGCTGTCAGCACAATTCAAACCACCCGCCTCCGAGAACAGCCTCCTAACGTAGCCGCGTCCGTCTTTTCCTTGATTTTCTGCCCAGCAGCCGGCGCCACGGTGCAATGGAGCAAGCTCATTTAGCTCATTTAGCCTCGTACCAAATTATTACAGATAAGGCACCACTGCAACCAGAAATGTCGTTACACCGACATGACACTTGCGCAGAATCTTTTGAATGCGAACAATATTCCAGGAAATCCAAGGCACAATGAGCATTTTATCTATCTATCTATCTATCTATCTATCTATCTATCTATCTATCTATCTATCTATCTATCTATCTATCTATCTATCTATCTATCTATCTATCTATCTATCTATCTATCTATCTATGGTTTGGTGCTGTCACGATAGTTTTGTACACACGAAACGTGTCATTGGAACACGTGAATGTTAGAAGGACTCGATTCGCAGGTCACGACATGAATAACCAGACTTAGCTGTCTCGAACGTCATGACTTTCTTTTCAACAGTCACTTTCGGCACATGCCCACATGTCGCATCCCATGGTGTGCGGGTATGCTCCACGAGCAATTCTCAGTTTAGTATCAGCTGGCGCTTTCGGCTGTCCACTTTCATATCTCTGTAACAAACAACTCAAGCGATTGTCAAGCGTAGCATGTATACACCTCGCACCTCTATACGCATGATATGCCCGGCGAAACTGACGTCCCTACTATTACAGTGAGTGATCTCCTCCAACCTCGATCAAATTCGGCGCAACCAGTGTTCGAACTGGCGCACTTTTTTTAGGGTGTAATAAAGAGACTACCACCATTACCCCCCCCCCCCCCCCCCCAACGTCAGACCATGGGCCACTCTTTGCACGCCAGTGTATTCGGCGTGCTTCGTAAGCACACAATGAGCACACTACTCAATTTACACGAAGACGTTAAACCACCAATTAACGCTTAACCACGGTGTAGATATTCCTCCACCGCGCGCTTAACTCATAGCGAAGACTCCACATAGGTGCCCGACTGCTTCTCATGAAATAGATTCCCATAATCAGTGTTGCGACGTTTGAAAAGCAAAAAAAAAACCCACGAAAAAAAAATGTCAGGCCTGTGCGGAACGCGCAGCACAGTCACAGCGAAAGCTGTAAGAGTAGCCTTTCAGAGCCTTTCTTAAATACTATTTGGGTAACTGCTACAAGCAGACTTGCAGAGCACCCACTACGCCATAAATCATGATAAATATTGGGTAGTATGGAGGCATTCACTGCGCCATCAGTCGTCATTCTTCGGAGAATTGTGGTGCCCGCTACACATTTCCGACGTTGCAAGCGATCTTGCGTAAATTTTTTAAGCTAAGGCTGACGGCGATGAAGAATTATGCCTGAAGCTTTTGTAATAGGGTTGGAGCATTTGACGACCCACTCGTTATGCAATTCACATTGTGTGACGCCTGGTTGTTTCTTTGCTGTTTTAAAACGCTTTATTACTCATAATAACGCGATTCTCTTCGCGACATCAAGCTTGCCCAAGGTCAGTTTAAAATGAAGTTTCAAGCAACAGTGGGGCTCTGATGCAAAATTCAGGGCTGGCACGCAAGAGACCCCGGCTCGAATTCCAATCTGTTCTTAGTGGGTTTTTTTATTTACTTAGTATTTTTTTTCTTATTTTGCTCGAAAGTGGTTACGGACACCAGCGGTGACGGCGGTGGCGGACAAATATACGGCGCACGCAACCCTTATGATGTCATAACAACTTTACAAGTAAAATAACCTAGTTAATGGAGATACTAGCCATAAGGTAGCCAACTAAATTGAACGAAAGGCACTAACAGCAGCAAAAGTAGCCGCGCGTGCCTGAAAATAAACTCCGGCGTTT